CGCTTAACGGTCGTATCGCTTCGATACAAAGGCACGGCGCAGGGAACCGTGAAGGAGACTAGTCAAACAAGAAGTCGTATTCTTTATAAAGATTTTTTTTTTTTCAAATGCAGTGAAGGAATTAGACGATTCAATGACGGGTCTTAAGCTTAACTGTTTCTAGGCTTATCGGAAGACGGTACATTATCACACAAGACAGGATTTTAAGTGTGCCTTAATGCACAGTCTGATTATTCCAGTTACAAGATTTTGTCTTTAAGTGAGATTTTGCGGATTTATTTTGTATGAATTTAATGACTAAATGTTTTTGAGAAAGAAAAAGATTTAACAATGATAATAATGAATTGAAAAACAAACATAAAAAAACAAAGCAACAAAACAAAACGAAACAAAACAAAATAAAGAAACAACGAAAAAACACAAAACAAAATAAAACAAAACAAAATAAAACAAAATAAAACAAAATAAAGAAACAAAACAAAGCCAAACAAAATGAAACAAAATCAGGAAACAAAACAAAATGAAAAAATAAAACAAAATGAAACAAAACAAAACAAACGTTGTCGAGACGAAAAAAGGGAGGCAATCGCGTGTTTGTTTGATTACCAAATTCGAGCCATGTAACCAAAGGGCTCATAGCTGAACCAAACAAAATGCGAATTTTATCCAGACATCACTATATCGGATCAAGCTTTTGTAATGGTCGTTGATTTTTCATTGACAAAAACATGCTAAGATATAACACAAGTCTTTCTTTATCAAATCCTTTTCTATAAGCTCATTAACGCCCATAAAACTGTTTATAGGCGATTTTTTTTCTAAGGGCGTACGCTTTGAATATTACAGATCGACGAAGAGTTTGATCTGCAGCTGTAGACTGTGTATTTTAGCATCCACCAAATTTTGCCGTGATTATCACAAATCAAGCATTCTGATTGGTACGGCCTCGTGGACTATCAACTCTTAGGGGATTAATGTTCCAACATTTCAAAATTTCAAATCCGTAAAAAAAATGGAAAAAATATGAGACTGAATATGAGACCGAGCGTGCAATGCTTTAATTCATAACGGCAATCAGACAGTGAAAAAATAACGCCGAAAAGATAAGTTCAAAACAGTTTCGTGTCTTCCTCCGCACGCTTTTAGACCCTTTTTACATGAGATAGGGTGCCCCTGGTGGTAAGGCCAAAATCCTCTGTTTTAAATCCACCAGGGAAAAGAAAACAAAAGAGTTAGCCCTACCACGTAAGGGCACCCTATCTCATGTAAACAGGGTCTTAAAGAGCAAGCCTTGCAAAGATGAAGTCTTGAAAATTAATTAAGAAAAAAAAAATGAAAAAAGAAGAAAAAAGAAGAAAAACAAACAGATTATAGTCACATATCCAATCTTTGTGTGATTAACGACCGGGAAGATTTAATACTTGCCTGATAAATTTAGCATCTTTAAGTACGCCATTAATCGAACATGCGCAGAACAGCGTCGTCTGCCGTTATCATGGTAATTATATTATCTCAAATACAGCAGTGTGAACGGTAGGTTCATAACGATACAAATACATTAATGATATAAATATAGTTTTAAACAGTAAAAAAATAACATATTTTATTTCTTAGTTAATAAGCGTTTCACTCCAATATATGAACGGTGTGGAAATTTAAAACTCAACAGAAAATCGAGAAGAAATTGCGAGACTAAACGATCTATTTAGCGTCTCAGACGTTCAAGATTTATCCAACATCGGTTTCTCCAAACGCAGTATAGAAGTGAAATTTGTTGTTTTGGAAAACTGTTTCGTGTCTATCCAATAGTCTTCTTCACGGTTCCCTGCGCCATCTTGAAAGGTAGCCTTGCCTGTACATCGAAGCGAGACGACCGTTGAGCGTGCAGTGATAGAAACCTAGG